GGCAGAAATGTGTCTGGACCCCGCAGTAGGTTACTGTCGCTGGGCCACCCCAGGGGGAAATGGGTGCTGTCCCTCCGCCTGCTCCCTCTTGGCGACTTGGTGGCTGTCATCCTCCAGAGGCCATTGGACAGTCAGGCTTGGGCCCGCAGTGACGAAACTTGTTGGGCCTCACGGGATGGGGGGGGGGGGGAGGAGCCGGGCCTGTCCTCCCCACCCCAACGAGACCCCAAGTCATCGCCCACGAACAGCCTCTCTGGCTCCTCATCAAGCTGCTCAATGGCCATGATCCCAGAGACTCAGGAGCAGATCTCTAAACCCAGTGGCTTTTGGCAGAAATCCCTCCAGATTTAAGTGTTAAAATTTCGGAATTTCAAAACCACATGGCCCTACTGCAGCCACATGACATCATATGTTATTCATAACTAGCAATAGTAAAAATCGACGATCAACGGGAGGGCCTTTACCTTTACCTAACTAGCAATAGAACACAAATTGCCTATTGTTGCCTTTTCAGCAGATCTGAGTGTTGGGGTAAAATCTCAAATAATGGCGCGTTTGGTGTCGAAATAGTGAATGGAATGTGATCAAAGTAGAGAGAGAGAGTAATGTGGAAATCATCTGCCACACAGGCAGGGGGAGGGTGTGGAATGGGGGTAAAGGTAAAGGCTCTCCCGTTGATCGTCGATTTGCTCGAGCGGGCCCAGTAACGTCTCCATTGGAGACTTTGTTGTTACTGTGTTTGGCATATCGAATACTCTCGGTAGCTTGCCGGGCTCTCCGAGAGGGGCAGAGGAATCGAACTCGGGTCGGCTATGTTGGCCGCTTGTAAGGCGAACGCCCTACCCGTGGGATTTTTGGTGGTGGAGAATGGGCACTGGTGAAGGTACGGGTGTTTCATTGTATGACTGAGACTTAGACCCAAAAGCTTTGTAACTGCTCTCATGGTGATTCAATAAATAAAATTATAAAAAATGGAAAAAAAACAGTAAGGTGGAGTTCATGCACAATTCAATCAGCTAATCAGTGGCTGAATAAATAGCAGTACTCCTACAAAAAAATAATAATAACAAAAAATAAAAAATTATGGGAAAAAATTAGTCCCTGTCTACCACCGTGTGTGCACCGCCACAAGCTGATAATGGGAGGTTATTTGTATTCAAATGGCTCAAAGCTAGAAGATAAATTCTTTATGTTTGGATTTTGATCCCTGCCCCCCTAAATTTTGCATCTTAGAGAGTCTCCTTTTAATGTGTGATACAGCAATGCAATTACAAGTTAAAAAATGAGTTTTACCACAGAGACAGGGGGGATGGGGGGATGGGGGTGGGAGGGATATTATCCATGGTGGTGGAAAATGGGCACTGGTGGAGGGATGGGTATCTGATCATTGTATGATTGAAACCAAAGCACAAAAAATTGTAAATCTACAAATTTAAAAAAAAATAAAATAAAATAAAGGGAAAAAAATGAGTTTTACTTTCCAATGAAGCCACTGGAATTTGCGGGAATCTTTTAAAAAAAGATTGTATTTAAGGTAACGTGTTTACAATAATGTTAGGTTTTATGATCTTGATGTACAGTTACCACACCTCACCCAGAGTGCCCAATATCCTCTATCAATGTCCTTATGATACCTCTAGTTCACCTCTTAACTACCCCATCTCTCCCCTTCTGCTTGGTATTCTTAGTTTTATAATCCAAAGCCAAGGGTTTAACATTCTTCAATGCTTTCTATTCCCTTGATTTTTTTCACATAATATAGGTGAGTGAGATCATCCAGTATTATTTGTTCTTCTCCCTCTGAATTATTTCGTTTAATGTGAAACCCTCCCGTTCCATTTGAGTTACAGCAAACTGAAAGATTTTTTTTTCCCTTTATGGTTGCATAGAGTTCCATTGTGTATAGATGTCACAGCTTCTTTAGCCACTCATCTGTCATTGGACGTTTTGGGTTGCTTCCATAACCTGCATATTGTACTAACACAGCTCTGAGTGTTTATGTGTGTGTGTGTATATATATATATATATATATATATATATATATACATATATATATACATATATATACACACATAAGCACACACACATACAAATACATATTCAAAGTAATATTTCTGCATTCTTAGGATAGATGCCAAGAAGTGGAATTGCTGGGACAAATGAAAGCTCTATTCTTACTTAACACTTTTTTTTTGAAAAATCTACATACTGTTTTCCATAGACACTGAGCCAGACAACAAACATTCCCACTGACAGTGAATGGGGGTTCCTTTCTCACTGCATCCTATCAACACTAGTTGTTTCAGTGGTTTTTGATATATGCCATTCTCACTGGTGCGAGATCTCTTATTGCCATTTTGATTTGCATTTCCCTGATAGTAAGTGTTGATGAAAATTTCTTTATATAGTTATTGGCCTTATATCCTCTTCAGGCAACTGTCTGTTCATCTCCACTCTGCATTTTCTGATGAGGTTATTGGTTTTTTGTTGTTGAGCCTTATGAATGCTTTATGAATCTACAATATTAGCCATTTACCTGATTATGGTGAATATTTTCAGGAGAGTGTCTTTCTTTTAGACACCCTCCTGAAAAGATTTTAGATAACTGAAGTTTTTTTAGGTATAGTGTGAATTGACTATTTCCCAGGTCTATAAGATCTGAGATCTCTTTATACAGTTTGACCCTGTATAAAGTTAACCTGTAGGTAAACCCAAAGAAACATGTAATTTCTGCCACATTATATCACTGATATAATAATTTCTCTGCAGAAAACTCTAAGACTGATTTGTTTACCTCCTGTAAGATAACATTGGTTTGTCTTTCCTGCATAGCCTCAGGTAGTTTAGGTTTATTGGGTTTCTCCCATCACAGTGCTCCCATTCCTCTGTGTTTATTTGTAACTTCTTTCTTTGTGCTCTGTTGACTTGTAAATATTGTTTTTCTCTTCTCCTTAAATCCTTTGCATAGTTTATTCAGAGCAATATCCTTTTTGTATGGACACATTTTTTAATGTGGTAGTTTATTGACTCTCAGTGATATTTTCCTCCTGGACATCTGTTTTCCCAACCTAAGCCTCAGCTGCCCTTACTTCCTAGCACCTCCAAAAGCAGTATTCTGATGAGGGACTGGATGGAACCAGGGCAAGCTGTGAGCTACGTGCTACCCTGGCGTGGAGATGGGCCTGGTCAAAGTGCCCAATGCTTAACTATAAGTTAAGAGCATGGTCATGGACAAATGCTGTCATAATCCAAAAAGTAATAACTAGATTTGGACTCTGCTAAGGTTAGGAATGATTAATCTTGCCTGAGCACTGTGTAGTCTGAGTCTGTGGCAAAATGTTTCCGGGGGAGCTTCCTTACAAGCCTCAATGTATCTCTTACTGTGTCCATACAAAATAACTAGTATTAAGATGTTGATAGAGTTATTGGACTGAGGAAAGGAGAAAAATACCTTAGGAAGTATTTTGCCCTCGGGAAGTCAGAAAGGGCTTTGGAATACCCCAGGTGGTGTTTCTGCCCTTGAGCCTGATGGCAGTCAGAAAGGGCTTTCTTATATTCATTTGGCTACCAGACTGAGTGTAGCCTGGGCCCAGAGGGCAAGGTGGAGAGAGATAAATTGGGGTAGAGAGATGCGTGAGAGGGAGGCTGAATCCAGAGAGTTGGGATTGAGGAATGAGGGGCTAGGAAGGAAGAGTGCGCCACTGGGCATTGCCCCCAAATAAAACAAATGGGCTAGAAAGATAATATAGCAGGTAGCGCATTTGTCTTGCACACAGCCAACCCTGATTTGGTCCCTAGCACAGTATGTGGCCTATCAGGCACTGCCAAGAATGATCCCTGAACACAGAGCCAGGAGTAAACCTTGAACACAGGTGTGGTCCACAAACCAAAGAAAACCAAGTTTGGAATCCAAAGGCAAGTCATAGATTTAGCCTTAAGGTTTGAGTTAAGACTAAAAACTGGAATTACTTTTAAGATTGCAGATCTGACATCATGTCTCATTGAAAGGATATTGCACAAGAATCTGCAACTGATCACCGTGTGTGTGTGTGTGTGTGTGTGTGTGTGTGGTGTGTTGGAAGAGGGCAGGGAGACCCATTCACCACTATCTGCAATCTCAATTTTGAAATTTCATTTGGGTTTCAGTGAAGGTGAAAAAATACCCTCTATTATTATTAGGAAGATAAAATGTATTTTAGGACTTTGAATATCTGCAGCTCCTTTTGATGAGCAGAGTACAAACGATAGGAAATGTACGCCATTTGGTACAGAGGAAAAAATAACTTCCTCAAGAGAAAAGGGAAAAAATTAGCAGGTGATAACCTTAATGTAGATCAGCATGCCTCTTATATGGAACTTAATGGGCTCTGCCCCAAATAGGAAATAGTCACGATCACAAAAGCAGAAGAGGTTATGATTAAGTTGTTGTCGAAGAACACTTAAAGACAAATCAGTAACCTGAACAGAATGAACTGGAGTGTACAACGTTAGATGATCTGGTTTTCCTCCTCTGTGGGATTTAAATGCTACAGTTTCCCTCTTTCTAAACTGTTGCCTGCCTTTAGGAAAGCCGGGCCACCCAGCCTATGTTCTCAACTACTCTGCGCCCAAGGCAGTGGCATAAGAACACGCCAAAGTACTGTGTTTCAGGGACAGTTGAGTTTTGTTCCAGGAGACACCTGTCTCTAGATAAAACGTAGGTGGCGATGCCCGAGTCCCAGAGCCAGCGTGCTTAAAGCCTAGTTACATTCGCGGACGCTTGTAAACACCTAGACGCCTGTAACTCTTCGCCTCGGACCGCTGGATTTCATCGAGCAGTCTACAACAAAAGAGCCAGCGGGGCCGAAGCCCGGGCCGTAACTCTCTACCTACCGGCACTTCCGGCTTCCACGCTGACTGGCGGGCGGCAAGGCCGGCGCAAGCGCAGCACCTACTTCCGGCCGCTGGGCGGGCTCTTCCTGCCTTGGTGGCGTTTTCGTGTTTCTGCGCTGCTTGGGCTCCGCGTGGGAGTCATGGCTCCCAGTTCCGGCCCGTTCCCCGAAGAGCCGCTCTTAAAGCTGCTGCCTCTAGAGGCCAGGGACCGGGGCACTCAGCGCTGTCGCCTGGGTCCGGCCGCCTTCCGCGCCTTGGGCGCGCGCTTGGGCTCGGTGGTGAAGATCTCGTTGCCGGACGGTGGCTCCTGCCTCTGCACCGCCTGGCCACTGTGGAACGGAGCGGACGGCCATGTGCAACTGGATGCGCAGTGCTCCACCCGGGGGGCCATCGCGGGGGCGACGGGGACGCAGGGGAGCCTGCGCCTGAGCTGCCTCCAGGTGGTTCCCTGCCCACCCCTTAAGCGCCTCACCGTGTGGCCTGTGTTGCGGGAGGGCCCGTCCGGGACCCCGAGCTCCGCCGCGGTGCTGGAGGCGGCGCTGCAGCTGCTGAAAAAACGACCCGTTTGCCAGGGCCACGTGGTCGCCGCCCCGCCGGACGCTCCGGGCCCGGTGGCCGCCCTGCACATCGTCAGCGGCTCGCCTCTCCCAGACCCGGCCGGGCTGGTCACTCCTCGCACCCGCATCGCCCTCAGCCGGGTGCCTCCTTCGGACCCGGAGCCCCCGCCCGAGGTGCCCTTGGGGGGTCTTTCGGATGTGGCGAACTCGCTGCGGGAGCTGCTTCTCCTCCCGCTCCGCTATCCCCGCACCTTGGCCGCGCTGGGGCTCGCAGTACCCCGCGGCGTGCTCCTGTCGGGCCCTCCGGGGGTGGGCAAGACCCAGCTGGTGCGGGCAGTGGCCCGGGAGGCGGGCGCGGAGCTGCTGGCCGTGAGCGCCCCGGAGCTGCAGGGTTCCCGGCCCGGGGAGACCGAAGAGAACGTGCGGCGGGTGTTCCAGCGCGCCCAGGAGCTGGCAAGGCGCAGACCGGCGCTGCTCTTCCTGGATGAGGTGGACGCGTTGTGTCCCCGGAGGGGCGGTGCGCACCGAACCCCGGAGAGCCGCGTCGTGGCCCAAGTATTGACGCTGATGGACGGCATCGGCGGGGACCGCGAGGTGGTGGTTGTGGGGGCCACCAACCGGCCCGACGCGCTAGACCCGGCGCTGCGCAGACCCGGGAGATTTGATCGGGAGGTAAATGGGCACAGTTAATCCATCACCTGCCGGCAACCTCTGCCTTTTGGGGCCTTTGGTGCACTGTTGAGACATTTGCCACTTAGCTTTGGAAGTCTGTGGGTCCCTTCAGAACACGTTCTCTGTTCTTAGATGGTCTTTGCGCCAGGACATTTCCCCCTGACTGTTCTGAGAGCAGTGTGCCCCTTACGAATTCGCTTATGGTGCCAGTCCCAAAGATGGGTACCCCGATCACTGAGAATTTGGTTATTAAACTCTTCCAAATTTAAAAAGAGACTTTAAACTCAAAGGTGTGATGATATAAAGGTAGAAAGAGGTGGAAGAACTAAGTCAGAGCAGGCTTTACATCCTGATGGGTTTCACTGCATGCCAGCATCCGCTCCCACAGTTGAGAAAGTAGCCACAGTTGCCTCCTGAGCCAGGAAGGTGGAATCTTCAAAGCTTCCTACATCATAAGCTTCCAATCTAAATTGATTCTTAAGAAGTGGTTAAGTCGTGTTTGAGCTTTGTGGTTGGCTGGTAATTGCTTCATTTGGGTTTAATTTGTAAACTTTAGTGGATTTCTTGTACTATCAACTATCTGTCTCTTGAATAAGTTTCTAAGGACAGTTGACCTAGACAATCTGCTTCACCTATGCTTGGGTTCTTGACTCCTAGAAGCTAGTAGTTTACTGAAAATAATAATTAAAAAAAAAGTATGGATGGTGACCAAGCAATAATACAGTGGGTAGGGCGCTTGCCTGTGCAAGTTCTGTCCCCAGCACCTGATGTGGTCCCCTAAACACCTCCAGAGTGATCCCTGTATACAGAGCCAGGAGTGAGCCCTAACCACTCATGGCTGTGGCCCCCAGACCAAAGCTAAACAAAACCAAAAATGTGTGGATGAGGACCCACTATCTAGCTCAATTTGCTGAGTGCATGCTTACATGCAGGATACCTGGGTTAGATAGCTGGCACCCCGAAACATAGTCCCCTGAGTGAGTGCTGCCAGGAGTGAACCCCCACTGCCAGCACAGAACCAGGTGTACATCCAGAGCAGCACTGGGTGTGGCCTCCAAGCCAAAGAAATCTTAATTGATAATCCAAGTTACTCTTTTGGAGAGGGAGGATATTTATGTTCAGAATCAAAGTATGCTAAATATGTAATATGTTTTGCATGGTCAAAAAATTATTTTTAATTGTAAAATTTAACTCTTGCTCTGCATATAGGTTGTCATTGGGACTCCCACACTTAAACAAAGGAAGGAGATTCTACAAGCAGTTACCTGCAAGATGCCCCTGTCCAGCGAAGTTGATTTGAGTGTCATTGCAGAAATGACAGTTGGTTTTGTTGGTGCTGACCTCACTGCTCTCTGCCGGGAGGTTGCCATGCATGCACTGCATCGGAGTGAGAAGGTGGGGAGTCTTGATTCAAGGTCACATTTGATTGTTTTTTTTTTTTGATATTATAAGTTTATTTTGGGTTAAAGTTGTAAATAGGTTTTCACAGACCTTTTGGTACCTTTAGCAACTTTTTCACATTTTTGTTACATCTCAACTGCATAGAATCTCTGTGTGATTAAAAGTAGGAATGGAGAGTAGATTCTCCAATTTACTGAGGCATTTTTCCACCATAGAAACTTGTCTCTGGTGCTAAAGTCTATTGCATACAGAAACAAAGTCAATATTCAGAATCAAAGTATGCTAAATATGTAATATATGTTTATTACATACATTAATATGTACATATTAATGTATATTGCATACATTAATATGTACATATTAATGTATTATGTTAATACATACCCTGCGATAGCACAGCGGTAGGGTATTTGCCTCGCGTGCAGCCAGCCCGGCCGAGCCGGGTTCGATTCCTTGGCCCCTCTCTGAAAGCCCGGCAAGCTACCAAGTCTATCTCACCCACACAGCAAAGCCTGGCAAGCTACCCGTGACATAATCGATATGCCAAACACAGTAACAACATGTCTCAAAATGGGAACATTACTGGGCCCACTCGAGCAAATCGATGAACAACAGGAGGACAATGTTTAACAGACAGTGTGTCCTCTACTTCCCAAGATCCAGGGAAAATGCATATTAATACATTATATTACTGAGTATATAATATACAGTATATAATACTGAGCCCCAGTGGATCAGGTACATTTTTGAATTTTGTTTATGAAGTTTGAAGAAATTTCAAACTTAGAATTTCTGGGGCCAGAGGGATATACTGGGATTAAGGTCCTTGCTTTGATGCATGTAGCCAACTCTTGTTTCATCCTTTCCACTGAATAAAATTCCCTGAGTACCACCAAAATTAGTTTCTGAGCACCATTGGGTATGACCTCCATCCTCCTGTAATAAAGAGAATTTTTGTTTATCCTTAATCTAGATTTTCCAGATGAAATATATTAACCACATTTGCTCTACCAAACTATCTTCTTGTGTATATATAGATAGACAATTCTGTGTTCTGAAATATTTGAGATCATTTTATTGCCATTATCTCCCTTTAACCTTGAAAATGTCCATGTATATTTCTCACAAACAGGGACTTTGGCCATACTGATTATCAAGGTGGGGAAAAGAATACTTGACACAATACCTAATTCTATAGACTTTAAATTTCACTATTAGTTCCACTGATTTCCTGTATGGTAGAATTCTTTGGGGGAATGGTGGATGCTTTCCCAATTCTTGGCGAACCTGACCAATTGTTAATATTGAGTGCCCAAGGATGTGGTACTGAGAACCATTGAGGTCTCACCTCAGCTGCTCAGTGGGGTCATGTGGAGCCAGGGATAGAATCCAAGTCAGGTGTGTGTAAGGCATATATGCACCCTATATCTCCACAGCCTCTACCCCTTTTTTAGCCAAGGATCAAACCCAGGCATGCATCTATCACTGAGCCACATTCCCAACCTGACTGGGGATGGAGATTGGGGGGGTAATTTTTTTTTTAATTCAGAATTAAAAAATTCGCATTCCATTCAATTGTCATAGTTTCTTAGTCTTTAATGTAGATCTATTCTTCAGACTTAAAACTTTCATTTTTTATTTCAACAGTTCATTCATTCATTCATCATTCATCATCCTGTTATTCGTCGATTGCCTCGAGAGGCCCCAGTAACGTCTCTTTCATCTTAGCCCTGAGATTATATTCAAGGCTCTTTAGGAGAATGAGACCCATCATTGTTACTGGTATTTGGCATATTTGGTACGCCATGGGGAGTTTGCCAGACTCTGCCCTGTGGGCAGGCTACATTCGATAGCCTGCAAGTTTGTCCAAGTTTGTTCAATAGTATGAACCAGTTATTCTGGGAATAGTTCTTCCCCTTTGGGTTTTCCTGATGTTTCCCTGTAATTTAATTCAGGTTTTGCATTTTAGGAAGGAGTATTACAGAAATGTTACTGTGTTCTCATTGCTCCTCTAAGGTAGCAAATAGTTCTTTTTCCCATTACTGATGGGGTTCACTTTGATTTCTTGGATAATGTGGTATCTGAGAGATCCCCATGGTTAAGATAATGGATTTTCCCTTTGTTATAGTACCTTAAATGGAAAATAACCATTTCTAAAGTAGAGGAAGATTGAGCAACTATAATTTTGTTTAGATTTGTTTTTGATACTCATAACTTCAATTCATGATTTTCTCTTAAATTTTTTTTCTTTTTGTAGTGCCCTGGGAACAAAGCAATGGTCTCACACGTGCAGCATGTGCTGTCCCATTGAGCCTTGTCCCAATTTTCCAAAGATAGTTTACTTAATATTTCTTTTAAATATTTAGGACATTATCTTGCCTATCCATGTTTTTAACATTATGGTTTGAAAAATATATTTGTTTCTGTATGTAATTCTAAGTCCCTAAACTCCTTTTGGAAGAATTAATTTAACGTGGAGAATTCTGGGCAAGATTTTAATCTCAGCTGTAACATTAAATTGTCATATGATCTTGTGTTTTCTTGGGTGTGTTTGTTTTGTTTTTTGAGACTTGGACCACAGTTGGCAGTGCTCAGGACTCACTTATGGCTCTGTTCTTAGGGATCACTCCTGGTGAGGTTTAGGGGACTATATAGGCTACCAGGACCAAACCCATATCAGCTTTGTGCAGTGCAAGAACCCTACCCGCTGTACTATTACTCTAGCCCCCTGATTCATGGAGTTTTTAAAACTTAAGTTTTTGAGTTGTTTGAACTTCATTCTAACTTTTGCAAATCTAAATCCTTAAACCTGAGGAACGTGAGTCTTGAATTATGCAAATTTGTAAATCTTCATCTGGTCAAAATTACTTGAAAATTCAACAATTCCGATGTGTCAGGGTTGAGAATGATAAGTGTATTAGGGGATGAGAAAGGTCAGTTATATTTAGGATTCCTTCTGCTTTGAAGTTCCAGGTTTGACCAGGAGTGCCTTGGCTTAGGTGGACGGGTCAGCTACCTTCAGGCTGGCGCCCACGCTACTCCAGGAGCGGCCTATTGGGTGTAGTTACCACAGGTGATGGCCGAATTCTGATTCTGATAGCCAGGGAAATGGAAGGAAGACAGGCAAAAATGAAGGACAGAGGCATCATCTGGGAAGGTACTGGCTCCATCTCTTAATTTTTCCTCTACCAGGTGCTGAAGGGTGGCTGCTGCCTCATTGTGTGCCATGGCAGGCAAGGATGTGTGACAGTTCACCTTACATAAGTGTTGCTTTTGGAATTGAAGTGTAGTTCTATTCCATGTGTAATCCATACATAATTTATCTACCTTAATCAAGTGAATCAGATAATGTAATCTTGAATGATAAATGAATTGTGGGAGGTAGTGTTAAAAATTATTTAGCATTTAGATCTCCAGCATTTAATAGTGCTGTGGTTTCTAATATAATTAAAAGTATAATTGATAATGGCTTTTCAAATTACAGAGAAACTAAAAATTGCCTGAAATCACCTTCCAGATATTCTAATGACATTTTAAAGAAATAATCTTCAGAATAACTGTACCCTAATGTGTTTTTTATGTAACCTTATATAAGTACAACAAAATGGATTATTTGAAGGACTAAATGTTCAGAATTCTATTTAGGGGATCAAATACATGTTATATAAATGTTGCAAATATAAATATAAGTAATATTTAACAAATTTACTTGGCTACAATGAGCAAGGAAATTGCAAGAAGGATTATCTGAAATTCAATCTTAGATTTTATAAAGAAAGCTTTTCTAAGTGTAATGTAAAACTGCATGACTTAAAAAAAATGATTTACTAATTTGGCTATTTTGGATGGTAAAGCAATGCTGTAAGCAAAGACAAGACATGAGAGGAAAAATCAGGGGTCAGAGATGGAATAGGGAGTGTGCCTTGCATATATCCAGCTCCAGTTTTGTCTGTGGTATTGCATTGTCCTCAGAGCACTGCCAGGAAGGAGCCCAGCACTGTGGGGTATGGCCCAGGAACGAAATCATAGAAACAAACTTCTTTCAGTCATTGGAGCTATCTTCCCAGACCTCCTGTTAATCAATTTTTGGCATTTCTCGAATTTCCTTTTTCCTCTCTGTCCTTCTTCCTCCCATTTCCCTTTTCCCTCTTTCTTTCTGCGTGTGTATTAAGACATTTTTCTCCCCTGAACCATGTGGAATAGCTTGCATACATCATTCATTATTCTTAATGTCTCAATGTTTCTTTCTTAAGAACAAGGATATTTCCAGACAGAACCATGGTATATGTGTGATCATAATCAGAACTTTAGTGATATAGAATGTGATTTTCTCAATTATTTAAACATTTTTTTCCTCCAGTATAGGTTTAGTATAAGGCAATGTACATTCAGTTTTTAGCTTCTTTTTATCTTGACTATTTCTCTCTCTCTCTCTCTCTCTCTCTCTCTCTCTCTCTCTCTCTCTCTCTCTCTCTCTGTGTGTGTGTAATGTTTGACAATGCTTAGTTTTTAAGCATACAGGTTAGGGGATTGTAGAAGTTTTCTCAGTTTGTATTTGTTTCATGTTTCTTCATCAGATTTAGGTGATACATATATGTTGGGAATACTGCTTTAAGTGATTGCATGTTCTTAGGCCATCACACAGGAAAGCACACGTGTCCTTCTGCCTTTCTCTAACTGCTGGGTCAGGGATGTGATGGAACGCAGGTCTCATGTGAGGCTTGGGCATGGGAATGAGGGCATCAATCTAATTCCTTTGTCCCTTCTACTTCACTCTTCATTGAGGGAAATCTAATTCACATAGTAATGCCAGAATTCATCTGTCACTGGCAGAAATGTAAAGGTTTGCTTGTAGGCATTGTTGAGAGGTGTGAGGAGAAGAGCAGGTTTGTATAATTGGTGCAGGTTTTTTAGGATGGATTGGTAGTAGCATCAGAATTATAAATATGCATACTCTTCTACTTTGAGGAAAATTTTTTTCTTGTTGGGTGGGGGAGGCCAGGCTTACCCAGGCACCATCAGGGCTGTGGTGGTGCTTGATTGAGGCCACGGGTGCTGGGTGTCAAACCTAGGGCTTCATTTGCAAGGCATGTCCTCTACATGAACTCCATTTCTAGCCTAAAGAAGTTTTTATAAAAATACTTTAACACAAGGACTTTCAGTTTTGACTTTGATTTTAATAACAAAAGATAATGTTTACAGAAGGGTGTAATTTCCTCATGTTACATTTGTAGTGGCATATTATGTAGTTGTGCATGTAATTATAATATGGCAAAACTATGCTTAACTCTGATGATGATAATACCTGAGAAATATTGAGAATAAGACAAATAACCTTGCAGAGATAGTACAATGGATAAGGCAAGTGCCTTGCCTGTGGGTGACCTGGGTTCAGTCCCCAGAACCCTGTATGGTCCTTTAATTCACAATAGGAGTGATTCCTGAATGCAGAACCAGGAATAAGTGCACCCCCGCCTCCTCCCCTCCTAAAAGACCCTAGGAACTCTCATTACAAGGAAAACTTTTGTATCTACATAAGATGAAAGATGTTAACTAAACTTCCCATGTTAACCATGATATGCAAGAGTCAGATCATACTATGCACCTTAATAGTAGACAGTGTTGTATCTTGATTCTCAGTAAAATTGGGGCCCAGGGGCTGGGCATAATACAAGACAAAAATTATTGACACATTCATGGGATGAAGATTGGGTGGGGGTTAGGGGAGGCATTTTATTTTTATCTTATAGGTATAAATGTCTTTATAATGATAACCAAATAGATTTCTGAATTTTAAAAAGGATTTTAAAAGGTGATAAGGTAGTTGGTGCTTTTATAATTGTTAAAAACCCACCTAATTTTTGGTTTGTTTTGGGGGTGTATTTCTTTAGAATCATGACAATGCAATGATTGATCAAGCAGACTTCCTTGAAGCTTTTAAAAAGATTCAGCCCTCATCACTACGAAGTGTCATTGGATTAATAGATGTCAGTCCTGTTGACTGGGAACAGATTGGTGGCCTTGAAGATGTTAAACTGAAGTTAAAACAGGTGAGACAGAGATGTGCTGAAGTCAGTAGAATGTATAGTTTCAATAATTTTTAAAATTTTATTGTAGGATCCAAGGACAGTAGAGATAAGGGCCAGGAATATCGCCCCATAGTTGGAAGACTGCCTCATGAGCTGGGGGAGAAGGCAACTGGAATAGAGAAGGGATCACTAAGTCAGTGATGGTTGGAGGGATCACTCAGGCTGGGAGATGTGTGCTGAAATTAGACAAAGTAGACAAATGTGATAGCCTCTCAATATCTATATTGGAAACCATAATGCCCAAAAGTAGAGAGAGAGTATGGGGGAAATTGTCTGCCATAGAGGCAGGGGGAGGGTTGAGATGAGGACATTGGTTGTAGAGGATGTACATTGGTGGAGGGATGGGTGTTAGATCATTGTATGACTGAAAGTCAAACATGAAAGCTTTGTAACTGTATCTCACAGTGATTCAATTAAAAAAAATTTTTTTTAAATTTTATTGTAGGGTATAATGCTTTTTAAAGCTGTTTATGTTTATGTGGTACTCTGGAGCTATTTCTGGCTCTGTGCTGGGGGAAGGGTCTCCCTCCTGGTTGAACACAGAGGACCATGCAGTGCTGGGTATTGAACCTAGGTCTCCTGCATGGAAAGCATGTGCTCAGCACTGAAAGCTAACTCTCAGGCCCTGTGATACATCTTGCTCTTCCTACCATAATTCATATCACCCTAGCATGTAAATCTAATGGTTGCTTTTCAGTTCTTTTTAATTGTAATTTTGTAAACAACACATACTATTTTTTTACTATCTCACCCACTCTTTAACAAAGAGATTCTCCCATAAAGGAAGAGAAATCACATAAATCCCCTTTGCAATTACCTTCTTGTTTGTTTTCACCTGAGAGACTATATAATCCAGAACAAGGGTCACCCAACTGCTCTGTAACAGGTGCTGGGTTGCTTCTGAGAATAATCTAAAACCACTTCCTTCCAAGGAGGGCAGAGAGAGACCAAAAAAAGAGGTGAACTGCCCCAGATTGGAAGGGCTCATGGTAGAGAGCAAGAGAATTTAGGAGGTTTGTCTTGGGAGTCATGAGGCCAATAGATGTACCTTTCCACCAAATCTTAAACTTTACATGGCGGCCATAACTGGGTTCAGTAGCATCCTGTCCAGTTAGTCTTAACACCACATTACAGTCTTGAGGTAGCTCTGGGAGGGGAAGGCAGTAGATTGCATATTCCAAGGGTGCATGGGGAGAGGAGCTGCCTCCAGTGGGGCCATGTTGTTTTTGTGTTAACCTTTGCTTTTCCACAAAAGACAAGATAGTATTTTGATTTTTTGTGCCTATTGCAGTTGTTTGCATCTGTGCAAAAGAAATGACTACTTGGGTTTTGCTGAAACTTTATATACATAAAATCCTATCATTTTTGCATGTCACAATATATAACTCTCATTTTTCTTTCTACTTAACATTTAAAAATGTGAAAATCATTTTGTAGCATGTGAATTTTACAAATAATGCAGGTAGACCTTTTGTTTGCCCTGGGTCTGATTGAAAGCCAAATTTGAAAAAAGTATTGTTTGCCTGCTTAGCTATTTGATATGTAATGGGAGTTGAAGGACATGGCTCTCCAGATCCTCTACCAAGTTGCAGTATCAGAAATTGATTTTGCCAATTTACCTGTGTAAGATAAACCTTAATGAACTATGTGTCTCTGACCCCATGCCCAAAAGACGGATTGTTGATATGCATTTATTTAACTAGGAACTCATTGAACCCTGAAGTTAATAATTTGTAATAAGTTTTTCATGCATTATTTCAGATGTCACAAAGTACATGAAGGGAATCTTGTTGAAAACACTTTTTCCTTATTTTACATGTTAAGACTTCCTGCTTTTCTGAGTTTTTTTCCCTTCCTTAAATGTTAGTGCTTAATGCCCAAGGCTGTAGTACTCCAAGGCTCTTTGGAGCTGCAAACATCCTGCAGTGCTCAGGCACCTCTTGGGCTATACCCAGCCATGCTTGGGGGGCACCAATTACTTCTCTGATCTCCCTAACCCCAGTATTGGGGAATTAGTGGTGAAAGTTGTTTGTATTCTAGAGGAGTAGAATGACATACTCAACATGGAAAAATAATCATTTCAGTTAACCAATGAGTAAATGTTTCCAAATGGAGAAGGCAGGCAGCAACATAGAGTGCTGACTGAGGACAGAGGTCTATTTTGCCTACAGGGGTTAAAGAAGACTCTCCCAGAAACTGACATTAGAGCTACCACCTGAGAGAGAGAGAGAGAGAGAGAGAGAGAGAGAGAGAGAGAGAGAGAGAGAGAGAGAGAGAGAGACGCTAAGAAAGGCCGGAGGTGGGGGAGGCGCTAAGAAAGGCCCTGAGGAGGCGGGGTGGGGTGGGGTGGGGGTGGGGAGCTGAGAGGCAGTCTAGTTACATAAGACCTTATAAGTGCTATATTCTTACTCTGATGAAGGATTATAAATCAGGAGCAAAGTGAGTTGACTTCGGCAATGTGATCTGACTTTAGCGCTGTTAGGGATCTGCTTTGTATGATCCCAGTCTGCCCTGTGGAGAATGGACTACATTTCTAGCTCAGAAACGGATACCTGGGAATTGTTGGATAAACAAACTGAATTATTTTATGTTTGATCATTCTACTAAAATAACTGCCTCTCTCTACATGCTCTTGGTTTTTGTGTACTTACAGAGTGTTGAATGGCCTCTTAAATTCCCTCAAGAATTTATTAGGATGGGCCTGACACAACCGAAAGGAATCCTCCTTTATGGCCCCCCTGGATGTGCTAAAACCACCCTGGTGAGGGCCCTGGCCACTAGCTGTCACTGCTCGTTTCTTTCAGTGAGCGGCGCTGATCTCTTTTCGCCCTTTGTTGGAGATTCAGAAAGAATCTTATCTCAGGTTTGTTTACTTTCCTCTGAGTTTTCACGTCAAATTTCACATCAGGCCTCATTTTAAAAATAGTACTGGGGGGCTGGAGTAATAGCACAGCAGGTAGGGTGCTTGCTTTGCACTCAGCCAGCCCGGGTTTGATTCCCAGCATCCCATATGGTCCCCTGAGCACTGCCAGGTGTAATTTCTGAGTGCATGACTAACCCCTGTGCATCATCGGGTGTGACTCAAAAAACAAAATTAATTAATTAAAATTGTACTGGATAGGCTCGAAAAAGAGTTCAGGGGTTAAGGACTTGCCTTATACGTGGCTCATCCCAGTTTGATTCCCAGCACTAAGAATGTTCCTCCTGCACTGCCAGGAGGGACAGAGCCAGGTGTAAACCCTGATTACCACCAGGTATAACCCCCAAACTAGGAAAAAAAAATAAAAGCCAAGCCATATATAGACAGACACACTCATACACATGAATCACACACACACACACAATACACACACACACACACACGAGCTATCATTATTTTTTATTATTATTTTTTAAACCTGGCATTTTAACTTAAAAATATTGTAACATTGGGCCAGCAAGAGAACTCTGCATGCTGAGCATGTGTCTTGCATGTGGGAGGCATAGGTTCACTCCTTAGCATCATGTGAGCACTACTAAGATCAATCCCTGATCCCTGTACCACTGGATGTGACCCTCCCATCTCCCCACCAGTTTTTTTAACATTAAATAGTCTGTGAAAATATTTTAGACCTTACATAATATTCCATTGTTCCTTGTTTTTATTCATTTCCCAATTCTTACCAATCTTCTTGCGTTTTGAGAATTACAAGCAGTAATGCAGAAAACATACATTAACATGAATAATGCATACTATATGGCTTTTTACTATTTTCATTTCCGTCTCATTCTCCCCCAAAAAAGGTATTTCAACAAGCCAGAGCAAATACTCCAGCAATTGTGTTTTTGGATGAAATTGATTCAATCTTGGGATCTCGGTCAGTCAACAAAGCAGATTGTGGTGTTAAAGAGCGTGTTCTTTCTGTTCTCCTGAATGAATTAGATGGTATTGGATTAAAGACTACTGAGAGAAGAGGAAATAGATCAGATCAACTAGGTTAGTACAAGGATCTGGTGAAAAATGAAGAGGTATTTATTGTCCAAAATACACCCAAAACCTAGGTCAACATGCCATACTAGCTTTACCTATGCTAGGTTCATCCCATAAAAGGAATGATGCTGTTTATTTCTTTATATAACTGATAAATCTGAATTAACTAAAAAAGGGGAAGTAGAATTTTATAACAGTTGCCTTAAATATATTTGAATAAATTTTGTTTTCTCTAAGATTTAGAAGTAGGGCTGGAGCGATAGCACAGCAGGTAGGGCGTTCGCCTTACAAGCGGCCAACATGGCCGACCCGAGTTCGATTCCTCCGCCCCTCTCGGAGAGCCCGGCAAGCTACCGAGAGTATTCGATATGCCAGACACAGTAACAACAAAGTCTCCAATGGAGACGTTACTGGGCCCGCTCGAGCAAATCGACGATCAACGGGAGGGCCTTTACCTTTACCTTTACCTTTTATATATGGGAAATACATAATGGGAAAGGAAGCTTATTATTTGTATATTTTGAAGAACTAGTCTTCATCCTTTCTAAAAAGTCTTTTGTGAAACAAAGTTATGCAAAGTTAAACACATTTCTTTCTGATAATCTTTGTAATTGAAAACTGCTTTTTTCTTTGAACAATGGACTTCCTTGATTATAATGAAATTTAAATGATCTTTGGAATCCCCAAAGAGAAGAGCTTTCTAGGTTTTTTCTCCAGAGTTTAATATGCTTAAGATATGCAGCAAACAATTTTTCTTCTATTCTTTTGGTGTTGTTGCTCTCATGTTCTTTTTTTGTTTTGTTTTGTTTTCTTTTGTTTTGGGGCCGCATCCAGCAATGCTCAGTTACTCCTGGCAGTGCTGGGGGACCATGTGGGATGCTCAGAATCTAACCCGGGTTGGTTGCCTGCAAGGCAAGCATCCTACTCTACCCACTGTACTGTTCTCTCCAGCCCTTTTGTTTCCCCATTTTAAAAATTGTTTAGCAGAAGAGTCTTACAGTTCCTTAGTCATTTGAAGGAATCGTAATGTTTCTAATTCTAATTATATTCTCCTAATGCAGGAATCCTCTTTCCGTTAAAATGATTGCAGATACTGGGAACTCTCTGCTCTGAGGGATCATGTCCCAGGGGACATTGGGCTGGAGCACGGCGGTAGGGCATTTGCCTTGCGCGCAGCCAGCCTGGCTGAGCCGGGTTCGATTCCTCCACCCGTCTAGGAGAGCCTGGCAAGCTACCGAGAGTATCTTGCCTGCACAGCAAAGCCTGGCAAGCTACCCATGATGTACTCAATATGCCAAATACAGTAACAACAAGTCTCAAAATGGAGACGTTACTGGACCTGTTCGAGCAAATCGTTGAACAATGGGAGGACAGTGACAGTGACAGTGACATTGCATTATCTTGTATATTTTCCCTTAGAGGCTCACGAAATTTTTCATCGAAATGTCATGGTTGTTGCAGCAACAAATAGACCTGAGATGGTAGATGACGCTTTATTACGACCTGGGAGGTTAGATAAGATCATCTATATTCCACCTCCAGATGAAAAGGTAATCACTGCATTTAAGGGAGTTCTCATTCTCAGTCTTGCTCTTTGTGATTTCATTAACTTGTGATAAACTTAGTCTGAAAATACTACTTAGAATAAGATATTTTGAGACAGAACACAGTACATAGTTTTTAATACTGTATGTTCTTATAATCTGTTTTGTTAGTGACTTAACCTAATTACATTTTATTATAATAGCTAGGTAACAGGAAAAAGCATAGCATATATGAGACTGGCACATTCCAAGCAACCACTAGAGGTCTTAGAATGTGTCTCTTGTAAAATCATTATTTTATAATTAGATGGAATACTAGAGTGTAAAAGAGGTTAAAGGAGTTTTGCCAATTTTCTGGTCAACCTTCTTATTTACAATGAATTCAGATTATATATTATATCCATAGCCGAAGAACCAGTCAATCCTTTGCAAACATTGAGAGCCATGACAAAGAGTAGTGGGAGGTTGAGAATGAACTTTTTCTTGGGTTTTTGTCAAGTTTGGAGGGATAACAGAAAAGTTCAATGATATTTTATTTTTTAATTGTAAATGATACAGTCATATACTTTTATATCAGGTCTGATGGTATGATTTGTATTTAAGTGAGATTTATTTATCTTAGAAGAAAATATATTGAGGATAGACTTTTTAAAAAAATTACTCTAAATTTATCCTGATGTCATTACTTTTACTCTTGTCATATCAGCTACATTGATGAATTAGTTTTCTCCTCAGAAAAAGTGGTTATTTGATTCTTAAATATTAAAGTTATACTTTCTAACTTGAAGTGTATTAATATAATATATTGTCAAATAAAAACTGTTACAAGATTAAAGATTATAAACCTTTCCATTTTGTTCAGGGCCGGCTTTCAATCTTAAAAATCTGTACAAAAAACATACCTCTGGAACCTGATGTGTCCTTAGAACACCTGGCGGCAGAAACCTGCTTTTTCTCTGGGGCCGATCTTGGGAACCTCTGCAAAGAAGTAAGTTCATTTCAAGGACTTGATGGTTCGAAATGTTTTTCCATTTATTCAGATGTTATGCCCATGTTTGGAATTTACTCAAGGACTCATATGGCAGACACCACACCATATTTAAGGCAGAATAGGCCAGTGCCACCCCTTTCCTGACTGCTTTTTAAGTTTCAGAGTGTGCAGAGATGGTGGCACTGTATTTGTAGTTCGGAGTGTGTAGTGAGTCAGGGAGGTTTGCAGGGCTGTGGGAGCATTTAGGAAGCACACAGATACACAACTTGGCAGTTTCAGAAAGGTGCCCCAGAGAGCATGTGTGAAAATTGAAATTGGAAAGATGATTAGGGAGTGAGCAGGCTGTGGGAGGGAAGGTGTGTTTGCATCAGGGGAATAAAATGTGCAGGATTGGAAGGAAAATGACATTACTGAAGAGGTGAGCATGGCCATATAACATTACTCTGTAAGACTCTTCTAGGAATTTAGATTTATGGAAAGGAAATCTTGTTTTTCCTTTCAAGTTTTATTAAATTCAAATTAAGACAAATCTTAAGAATATAGTTCACTGAATTAGCGTATGAAGTGTACACACTTGAACAACCACTGCTCAAGCCAAGAAAGCATTGTAAACATTCCCAAGCTTTCCCTGGGATTTTCCCAGTTTCCCTCCCTTAGAGGCAGGAACTGCCAGCATTGGTGACCAGTTTCACCTAATGTTCTTTGTATAAAGTGGAACCATAGGGAATGCTTTTGTTTTTTTTGTTTTTGTTTTTGTTTTTCGGGGGAGGGGCAGGAGGGCTTTTGGGGTCACACCCGGTGATGCACAGGGGTTACTCCTGGCTCATGCACTCAGGAATTAACTCCTGGCAGTGCTCAGGGAACCATATGGGATGCTGGGAATCGAACCTGGGTCGGTTGCATGGCAAATGCCCTACCCGTTGTGCTATTACTCTAGCCCCATATGGGAATGCTTTGTTGTTTCCTTTTTAAACTCAAGATTATTTGTGAAATTCATTCCTGGTTTTGTGGATAGCACTAGTTTGTTCGTTTCCATCTTTTTTTTTTCTTACAGTATTCTGTTTTTACTCATTTCTTTTAAACATTTGGATTACTCCTTTTTTTTGCTGTTATAAATAATGTTGCTATGAATAATCATGTCTGTTGGTGTGTTGTACGTGTATGACTTCTGTTTATGTTTGTACTACATAGGTCATATACTGTGTTTGATCTGTTCTTTTGATAAGTGCTGTGACCTGTTTTAAAACTGGGAGTACAGTAGGTAGGGCATTTGCCTTGCACATAGCCAGCCTGGGTTTGATCCCTGAAAACCCATATAGTCTCCAGAGCACCACCAGAAGTGATACCTGAAGTCATAGTCAGAGCTAGAAGAAAGCCCTGAGTTATAGCCCCAAACCAAAAAACAAAGTGCTCATTTTATCGGGTTGGAGAGATCATACAGCAGGTAGGGTGCTTGAACATGACTGACCTGGGTTCAATCTCTGTCACCCCATATGGTCCGCAAGCCCACCAGCACTGATCTCTGAACACAGCCAGATGTGGGGCAGAAAACAAAACAAAACAACAGAAAAACTTATTTTGAGGTCAGGAAGATGGTCTCTCGTCTTTTAAAGATAGACACAGGGGTCGGAACTTTGGGGTGAAGCAATAGTACAGTGGGTAGGGCACTTGCCTTCATGGGGCCAACCTGAGTTTGATCCCCACTATCCCATTTGGCTCCCTGAGTCCCGCCAGGAGTGATCCCTGAGCCAAGAATGAGCCCTGACAATCACTGGTGTGGCCCCCAAACCAAAAATTTAAAAATTAAAAAAATAAAAAGATATACAGGGGCTCCTAATGTATATATTATTCTGCAGTTTACAAAAATAACACTTTTTTTTGAGGGGAGAGCTCGAAGGCAGGGGGCCTGGAGGTGTGTTGGGGAGCCTCCAGGGCTACCCTCAGTGGTGCTCAGGACCCATGCAGTTGCTGGGGATCCAGCTCAAGTCCTTGTTCATAGAGGCAGATAACCTGACTCGTGAGGTTTTTGCCCACCCCTGAGGTTTTGTTTCCAGAGTTAAAAGTGTTACCATACATTGTTTTTAAATGTGAAGTGATATAATTATTTCTTCTTTATCTCTGGTAGGCTGCCTTGCTGGCTCTACAAGAAAATGGACTAGAGGCAACTACTGTGAAACAGGGGCACTTTGAAAAATCACTAACAATTGTAAAGCCATCCTTAAAGCACAAGGATTTGACTTCATATGAAAACTTATTTCGGAGGCAAGAATTTTCTACTTTAGAGGAGATTTAAAAATTGCTGTACATATTTTCTCAAGGACTCATTGAAATGTGGAATTTGTGTATATGTATTTTCTGTAAATTAAAAGAAACATTATTATATCTGATAAGCTAAGATTCTTTTTAAGCTATTGAAAGTCTGTAACTCAGAAACAGAGTGCATATGTTGATTTTGTAGTGAAGGGAGTAGTTGATTTTTTTTTAAAAAAATTTTGATGTATACAGATTATTTTCAAGAATAGTACAAAGAACTGTTGTGTACCCAACCTAATTTTATCATTTTGGAGGAGGGAACCGGGCGGCGCGAGCCTTCCTGCGCGCACGGGGCTGGACCGCGGGGCCCGGCGGCAGTGGCGGCGGCGAGGCCGAGAGCGAGGCCCCTCTGACCCCGGGGGACACCGTGGCGCTGCCCCTCCCCTCCAGCCCCGAGTTCCTGTGGCTCTGGTTTGGGCTGGCCAAGGCCGGCCTCCGCGCGCGGCCTTTGTGCCCAGTGCCCTGCGACGCGCCCCCCCTGCTGCACTGTCTCCGCGGCTGCGGCGCGCAGAGGAGGGAATACCCCATGGTGCTCAGGAAACCATGTGATGCCAGAGATCCGAACCTGAGGCTCCCACATGCAGATCATGCATCCCAACCCTTTGTGCCCTCTCTGTGCCTCATTTTCACCAGTATTTGCACTTTGTCATTTTTGCTTTCTCTTTGCACAAAAAACACTTTTAGATTTTGCACAGCATGCCTCCTTATTCCTTTAATATTTTAGTCTGTGCTTCAACAACTGAGGTTTTCTTAGGTAACCACAGCACAGTTTTGAAATGCAGGGAATTTAACAATATTTTTTTATCATTCAGTGAATCTTATCAATTACCCGAACAGTAATTTTCCCATTATTAAGTCCAGTATAGCTAGCATCAGACATTTCATTTTGTTGGTAGCCTTTTACTTTGAAACAGTTTCTCCAACTTTCCCGACCTTGACATTTTTTGAGAGTATAGAACAGTATTTCCAAAAATAGTTGGTCCATGGTTTGTGTTTTGTTCTAATAGATTGAGCATTGGTATCACTAGCAGATCACCACATGGTGCTAAGCTCTTGCAGATCATAGTGAGCTGAGACCAGGGTAACTTCCCTCTGCACGTCATTGGTGATGTAGATTTTAATCACTTGTTTACAGTTTTGGCCAGTTTTTCAACCACTTAATTGCTATTTCACCTTTTGTGATTTTAAGTAATCTGGTAAACACTTTCCTCAGCCTTTCCCTCACGAGGAACCCTACCAGGTGTGAAGCAAAGTGAATGAGATAGTCATGGTGCCCAGGGTCAGCTGAGAGAACACCTTAGATCTTGGAATGAATTTTTTCCAAGCTTCAAAAGAAATGTATGGTAAGAGCTACATGAAATAGGAAGTCATAAATATTCAGCACTTATAAAGGACTATTATTAGTTAAGCCTTATTCTGTGGAAATAGTTAATGGAAAAGTCCTGCTGTTTTCAGGGGTAAAGGGGAAACCCACACCTGGCAGTGTTCAGGGATCACTCATGGCAGAGGAGGAAACCAGCTAGGCCATGTGCAAGGCAAGCAATTACTCTCTATACTGTCTCTGACCCCAAGACCTTTTTTTGTTTGTTTGGGGGCCATACTGGTGGTACTCAGAGATCACTCTGTCAGTGCTCAAGGGACCATATGCAGTGCTGGGGAATTGAACCAGGTTTGGTCATAGGTAAGGAAAGTGCCTAAATTTCTATACTATCTCTCTAGTCCAAAAAAGACCTATTTCATAGGCATAAAATTGAAATAAAATTATCATTAACAAAAGGGCTGATTGCTTCTGCACAATAGGAGAAATACCTAGAAAACTTACTAGGATTCTTTCATTCCTGGTTTTTTTTTTTTTTGATTATTGTTGATTTTATCAGGCAAGATAGCTAGCTGTTAAAAACTTCTACAGGGTGAGATACCGCAATCTGAACCCATTTTTTTTTTTAATTTATTTCTTATTTTGAATACCCATCCCTCCACCAGTGCCCATTTCCCACCACCACGGATCCCAGTATCCTTCCGTCCCCCCATTGCCCCCATCCCACCCTGCCTCTGTGGCAGGGCATTCCCCTCTGTTCTCTCTCTCCTTTTGAGTCTTGTGGTTTGCAAAAGAGTTAAGCCTGATTTTCAGGGAGAAACGTTGGATGATTTGCTTTCCATTGATCACTTTGTGTATCTAAGGAGATGTCACGTGGCCGCATAAGCGGCCGCGCAGTTTGAAAAAATTTTTCTGGTTCCCACATGCCTGAGCTATGCTTGTAGAGACTCATGGTCACAGAGGTTCCATCTGGAGAAGGCGGGATGCAGCACCTACCCCATCTGGGACCTCCCGGTGAGATCGGCTCTGTTTGGGACCTGGAGCTCTGGGAGCTGTGGTGCCCTCCAGCGGTGTTCTTTGTTGCTGTGTGCTGTAAAGATGGCCTGAACCCATTGTTTTTACCTAGAATATATTGTAGGGCCAGAGCGATAGGACAGTGGGTAGGGCACTTGCCTTGCATGAGGTCAACCTAGATTCAGTCCCTGGCATTCCATCTGATCCCCCAAGACTACTAGGAGTGATCCCTAAGTGCAGAGCCAGGAGTAAGTCCTGGGCACCACTGGGTATATCTCCAAAACAGACATTTATTGTGTTCATGTTAGAAACTGACACTTTTGTTAGAAGCTGAGCTTTCAACTAAAATATTTTTTAGTGTAATGACAACTTGTCAACAATTTTGGAAACCCCGTAAAAGGGGTGGGGTGGGGGATGTGTTTCCTCTTTACTGAAATAATAAATCATGAGGCGAGATTGACTGACTTTGTTTTTATGTGATTAGAGTATCATTGAAACTGTGTTCTTAATTTCCCAAGGATTTGTGGAGCAGTCACAGGTGATGCTTGTGAGTGTCCTGAGTGGTCCCTTTGACTTTGAAGGGTGGGAGATGTGCCTGCTACATGCCTTCCCACAGTTCAGTAAGATTAGGCATTAGCCAAATGGGGCTTAACTCATTGCTGTAAATAGACAGACACATAAAGGTACATCACATCTGTAACTATTTGCAGTTGTAATGTGTGAATTGTTAATATTCTATTTTGAGCATTTTCAGGTACATAGAATCACGATCACGACCTCCCTGTTGTTCGTCGATTGCCTCGAGCAGGTGCCAGTAACGTCTTCTTCGTCCTAGCCCTGAGATTTTTTTTTTTTTAAAGTGCCATATTCAAGGCTTTTTCAGGGTTAGGAGAATGAGACCCATCATATGTTATACATAGAATAGTATAACAAATTCCCATATACCTACCATAACTAGGTTGAGTAGTCTTAGAGCCAAAGTGTAGTACAGTGGGTAGGGTGTAGGCTTTGCATGTGTCCAGCCCAGGTTTGATCCCCTTGTATCCCATTAGATACCCTGAGCTCCACCAGGAGTGATCTAGGAGTGATCCCTGAATGCCACTGGGTGTGGCTAGAAAACCCACAAACCCACCCCCCCCCACACACACACACATATATATATATATATATATATATATATATATATATACACACACATACAGAGAGAGAGAGAAGTCTCAAAATAATGAAGAACAGAGATTCCATATTGGTAATTCCACTTCTTGGCATCTACTCCAAGAGCACAAAATCATTAATTCAGAAAGATATTTGTACTCCTGTATGCATTGAAACACTGTTCACAGTATCTAAAATCTGGAAGCAATCCAAATGTTCAACAATGATGAGTGGATAAAGAAATTGTGGCCAGCACACACAGTGGAATACTGTAGGATAACACTGTTTTGTCCTTCCTCAGGTAGCTTAGGTTTATCGGGTCACACCCATCTAAGGATGCTGAACTTGTAAGCAATGTCCTTTCTGTATGGACACAGGAAGACAGTTAATATTATGTTTTGTGACTTGGGAGTTGATTGACTCCAAATAATATTTACTCCTGGGCATCTGCTTTCTTGACTCAGTTACCCTTAGTTCCTAGCACCCCAAAAGCAGGGTCCCAATGAGGGACTGAATGGACCCAGGGCAAGTTGTGAGCTACCCTGGCATCGAAATAGGCCAGGCCAAAGCGCAACTATAAGTTGAGAGCATGATCATAGACAGATGCTGTCATGATTCAAAAGTAAGTAACGAGGAGACTAGGACCCGCTGGGGCTAGGAAGAGTAACCTGGCCTGAGATGTTTATATGATATAATATAATGAGATGTTTATATCTCTTACTGTGCTCACACAGAATGACATTGCTAGAAATATTAGAAGTAGATTTACTACAACTAAGATTACTAGCTAAGGAAAGAACACACCCTTGTTAGAATCCCACCCTTGAGCGGATCTCCTAATAATCTGGAGTAATCTCTTTAGATGAGATTTTATCCTTGAGTTAATCTCCTGGAGGAGTGGTCTTACCTCTCATTGTTGATTTGTCAATATTCAACCCACCTTTGTGTCACCGCCTTACGTGATTGCTATATAAACTAAGACTGTAAGCTCGGAGAGGAGAGTCAGAAGTGAGAGGTCCCGGGCTCCAGAGATCCAGAGTCAGAGCCAGAAGGAGAAAGACTCCAAATTGTTGCCCAGGAGAGAAGGAGGCAGAGGAGAGACAGGAGTGAAGAGGATTGGAATAAACTACTGTTGATATCGACCAGCCTGGCCCTCTTTCTTCTTCTGTCTGCCCTTGGCCAACTGCTGTCCTGATCAGGCCACACACAGCGGCTCAAGAGCACCGAACGCGGGCAGTGAGACAGTGCCATCCAGTGAGCCCGCGAACACACAACCTTCGGCATGCTGAGATTTTACAGAATACCTTTCATCTGTGAAAAGATGAAATCTTGCAATTCACTACAGCTTGGATGGAACTGGCGGGTCGGTATCATGCTGACTGGAATGAGTCTAAGGAAATAGGATAAATAACCAAATATGTGGAACATAAACACAGTAAGGGAATAAACAATAGCATATGTTACAGAACCTGCCTATAGAACTGAGTTTGCTAAGGGGTGAGGAGTATTCTAGAGAGAGTGATGCAGGGAAGTTCACACTGGTGGTGGGTATAGTGCAGTGATACTATATTCCTAAAATACTAACAGTATTTTAAATCATGGTGTTTCAAATTTTTCAATGAATTTTTAAAGGGTTAATTTTCATTTTCTTTCATAACCTTAATGCCATCAATACATACAACAAAATTAACATCGCTTTTAATGTTTTCTCAGACTACTTTGTTAAATTAGCTGCTTTTAATAGCTGGGGTAAGAGGTTAGAATGACTTTTAATTACTAATTTACTATGCCCCACCCCCTTCCCCAGAATATCTCGACCACCATAAAACAGTAATGTGTTTTGATAGAAATTATATAGAAAAAGTAGGGCTGAGTTTAAATTGATGCCAGCACTGCAATTTGTGTTATTTAAGCCACGTGCAAGTGTCTCCCACAGTTGGTATGTGCCCCTATCAATAACATTAAGATCATTAGTAAGCAAAGACCAAACATTTTAATTTGGAGCCATGATACATTACCCGTAAGACTTTTTTCCCCTCTGCCTTTTTGCCTCCATACTCTTCCTATTCCTTTCTTTTATTCTTTTGAGAAAAATAACCCCTTTTTAACAAAACAGCTTTAAAAATCCTACAGAAGGAACAGTTTTTATTTGATCCTATTCAGTACAAACAGGAGAAGTAACGCAGCATATTCTTTGAAGTAACTGATGTGATTTTAACAGCTGACCCTTGTCTTCTAGATGAGAGATTATTTTTATTATCTATTTTAAGGGAAACAAATCTTTGAGATGCATAATTGTAATTTACTGTATGCCACATGCTTTGCAAACATTAAATCCCCCTTGTGTTAGGTTTGTTCCCAGATTTCATATATGTAAACTTTCGAAACAGTTACCTCCAGGTCAATCTGCTAATAGAACGTCCATGCATAGATCTGAAATGGGATTGAAAAATAGTTCTAACGTTTCTGCATTAACTCTTTGCTTGACCTTAAACTTCAGAACTGAGTAACTACTTTGATGTTCTTAATTGAAGCAGCCATGAGCAGATGCAGAAGGGCTCTGAGAGTGGTTCTAATCACACCTCCACCATTTTCATGTTATAAGACTCCAGCATCTCTCAGCCTGACACCCTCCTTATCTTGCAAAAATGTTGAGAAGATTCCTGCAGTCTCATTCAGCCCTTGGTTTAATGAAATTGCTGTGATTGTTTAGTATTTAATATACTTAATACATTGATGAAGTATTGGGAGGGGGAAGCACCAGGTTTGCACACCCGGCGTTGCCCAGCACTTATTCCTTGACTCTACCGTCTAGGGTCACTCTTAGAAATACTCTGTGCTCAAGGATCACACCATATGTGGTACCAGGGATCAAATCCTGATCAGGGCATTCCAAAGGCAAGCGGTCTACCTGCTGTCTCTCTAAACCCTTAATAAATTATTTATGAAGTAACTAATTATTGCAACCATCTTTGTGTTCTGCATGAGGAAAGATTGTTCACTTAGGAGCAAACTCAATTGAAAGCCATCCCTCAGGGTCAGCTTGGAAACCTTTCCAGCTGATCTTTTTCTCCCTGAGATTTTTTAGCGGGAAAACACTCGGAGCAGGTCATTTGAAACTCCATAATTTAAGTGTTGTCTCCATCCGTGTGCGAGCTCACATTTTGCAGTTTTAAAAAGTGATTGATTAATTCTAACTTACCTAGTTGCACGCAGATAACTACTCTACGCAGCTCACCTCTCCCCCTCTCCCCCCCGAACTCTGGGACCCCCATTTTCCTCGACTCCGCAGCACTTTGTCCTTTCTATCCCCTTTTAGACAGGTGGGTTTTCAACAGGCCTTACCCATTAGCGCTCCCTACCCGGGACCCACTTGTTCTCGGGTTTCACCCACTGGGGAACGCCGGGCGGCAGGTAAGCACCGCGGCGAGCGGCAGGGGGCGCCCTGGTGCCGAGCACCAATTGATGGCTCGGACCAGACCCGCACGCGCTCAGCCCGGCCCCCGCGAGCGGCCGCGGTCGCTATAAAAAGCCGCGCGCGCTGAGCCGGGCGTTACCTGGCCCCCAGGTGAGAGTGGCGCAACGGAGTCGGTCCGCTTCTCGCGGGAGACTGGGTTCGGCACTTGGCAGGTGTTTGGGTGGGACAGTCCGTCCGAGCGGCCGGTGTTTTGACCACCTTCTTGGATTTTTCTTTGACTTCAGATTTGGCGTTCTGCACTGAATTCATCATGAACTTTTTCCAAATCCTCACGAAGAAGAAGGAAGTAAGTATGTAAAGCAATTACAAATCTTAGTGGAAAATGTGTTTTTTTTTTTAAGATAAGGGGTGTGGGCTGTTGGGAAACGCTGCAGAAGTAGACCGTGGGTCGTTGATTTCATATGTTTCACATTGAAACGTGAGAATATTCACCCTCAACTGTTCTCCCTTAGATCATTCCCTTGCTGTTGTTTGTTTCTTCTGGGGGTTGCGGAGCTCTGTTCATCGCTGTGTACTCCCTTAAGAAGTCCGATGTGATGTAAGTAGCATCATTTGTAAAATGTCTTTTAGGAAGTGCTGGCTTGATCTTCCCACCCGTCCTTACCCAGCTCCCAGGAGTAAAATGTTAAATTGTGAACTTGAAGTCAGGGCTAGAAAACATACTGGTGTCAGAAGACTATTAAATTAGTTTGTTCCTTGTATGTAAAATCCTTTCGTCCAGTGGCCCTCCTGTACTTCTCCTGCATCAAAGTTTGATATTTCTTTTTCCGCTTCAGTTTCAAAATGTGAAGTTTTGGGGCATATGTCGTCATCAAACTTCAAAATTTCATTGCAATGACAATTTAAATTTCAATGTACTAGAAAGATCTTTCCTATTGAGGTGGGGTTGATAGATCTGGTTTTATACAAATGACCCTAATATTAGCTCCCCATATAAGTAAAATATCATGTATTCTGGCAACAGGGAGAGAAGAGACACTGGAAATTGGTCTTGACAGGGTGAGTGCTGGAAATGGTAGAGTGGTCTGTGTAGGGCCTGCAGCTCAGCACCTACAGAGGTCAAGCCCACCCTCCTACCATCCCAGAAACCAGGCAAAAGTGGTGTTGACTTGCTCTTTGCCTGGTACTTCCACTGTCCTGTATGTGGGAACATTCTCCATGTCTAGCCCCCATCACTGGAGTGTAGACCTTCCACACCTAAGTGCAGAGGGCTTACCAGGGTCCATGATACTGGAGTAAGTGGTGACTCCCTTAAGGAAGCATCCCTCGATTTTAGTTAATAGATGAATGCAAAGCATATTTATGGTTGATACTTAATTTTAATCAGGTGCTTAATCTTGTTTTTTTTCCTTCTCAGCATTGATCGAACAAGAAACCCAGAGCCTTGGGAATATGTGGATCCTAATGTGCCTGCAAAGGTATTATTAAATTGAAAAGTAATTTTTGTGGTGTGGTAACAATTCATTTGTATAGCCGTAGAAAGCTAAACTCTTGAAATTCCGTAGACTGTAAACTACTGATCAGTCAGTGAATTAAAAAACAAACAAACAAAAAACACCATTAAAGCAGCCAGGAGCTAGATCAACTAGAATGTTATGCTTGTACAGACAGAATGCCCTGGTTCAATCCTGGGAACCACTTGGTTCCCTAGCACCTCCATGAGTGTACCCCTGAACCCATCCAACTGGGGTTAAAACAGATAAAATAAAAACAAAAGGTTTTTAGCGATTTTTCAGGGCTGGGAATATAATTAAGCTGCTTGTATTTGTAGGAGCAGAGCTGGGTTTGATCTGCAACACCTCGAAGGTCTTTTAATGAAAAATCAATTTTCATGTGTTTTAAGCTTGTCAGAAATATAGATTTAATACCCTTCACTTTTAAGTTGCCATGTAGCAAAGTTTTGGAGATCCATTCAAATCCTCTGTTATTCACAAGTGTTAGGCAATTTAATATTAGATAATTGGCTTCTCTGAGACTCTATAAAATTGTAACCATAACAGGAATATTCCTCAGAATTAAAAGAGTAAAGATAAAATGGAGGAGGCCAGGGCTGTAACTAAGACATAGCCCTTCCCTTGTAGGTGTGACACCCTACACTGATCCAGCACTGCAAACACACACACCCAGCACTTTAGCCCAGTGCCTGATACTTAGTTAACTTTTATCTTTATTGTAATACATTATCTCATTTATCTCAAGCTAATATTAGGTTAATTGAGATAAAGAACAGGAGCTCCTAGAAACTAGAAACAGGAATTTTTTTTTTTTTTTTTTTTTTTTTTTTTTTTTTTTTTTGCTTTTGGGCCACACCAGGGGTTACTCCAGCTACTACACTCAGGAATCACTCCTTGCAGTGCTCAGGGGACCACAGGGAGTGCCAGGCATTGAACCCAGGTTGGCTGTGTGCAAGGCAAGTGCCCTGCCTGCTGTACTATCTCTTTGGCCCCAGGAATTACATTCTTTTAAAGTTAGCTAATAGTCATTAATATTTTAATAACATTTAAAAGATATTTTTATTCTTAAACTCTTGAAGGTTAAAAAATGGAGGATATTAGAATATATACATTTAGGTCATCATAAAAGCTATTTTTTCCCTTTTGGGGACCTTCCAAGCAGTGCTTAGGATGCTAGGGGGCCACCCTGGTGATACTTAGCCAATCAGGCTGGATGGTTCAGTGTTCAGCCCAACAGTGCCAGGGGCCACTAAGGCCATATGTGTTGGTGCTCTGAGCACTTGATGTCTTGTACACACAAGACCGGCTTGCCTGACCCCTAAGCTATCTTCTCAGACACCCTCCCCCCCAGTTTTTAAAATGAGACTTTGAAAAAGCACAGTTTGATCTAGTGAGGGGATATTAAGGTAAAGGCCCTCCCGTTGTTCATCCATTTGCTCGAGCGGGCCCAGTAACGTCTCCATTGGAGATTTTGTTGTTACTGTGTTTGGCATATCGAATACGTCACGGGTGGCTTGCCAGCCTCTGCTGTGTGGGCAAGATACTCTCGGCAGCTTGCCAGGCTCTCCGAGAGGGGCGGAGGAATCGAACTCGGGTCTGCCATGTTGTCTGTGTGCAAGGCAAATGCCCTACCGCTGTGCTACCGTGGGCATACCCACTCAGGGATATTCCTTGAGGTCCTTGAGGGACCATGTGATGTTGGGGGTCAAACTTGGGGCTCCTGCATGGAAAGCTTGTGCTATAGTACAATGGGATATTTATACAGTCTACATCTCCCAGGTCCTGGGATAGTAGAAAACTCGTGGGGATTTCTGAGTGGGATTCTTTGGTTGTCAAGGACTGACCACAATTCTGCCCCTTTTCTTTTTTGTACCTTTGCTGAGTCATTTCAATGAGGAAATTTAAGAACCCACTATGTGTCATATACACTCATTGTGATATACACTCATTGATACTTTTTTTTTTTTATTGAATCACTGTGGGAAAGGTTACAAAGCTTTCAGGTTTAGGTCTCAGTCATGCAAATATCAAACACATTTCCCTTTACCAATACTTATTTTTTACCATGAAGAACCCCAATAAAACCCCGCCACCCCACCCCTCCCCATCCCTGTGAGGCAGATGAATTCTAGTTAACACTCTATCTGCTTTGATTAGATTCATTGTTTCAATAAAAGATTCACCACTATTATTTAGAGTTTACCCCTCCCAAATCAGACATGCTGAAAAAGCATTGTGAAGTGATTTGCTTTCTACAGCTGGGTTCAAGAATTAAATGTTGGTTTTGGATTTCTGTTATTTTACCTATTGACCCTGGAAATATTTCTACTGAAAGTCAGATAGTTAAGAAATTGGTTTCTGTGTTCTGGAGTCGTGGCTGTGCTGGAGAGCCGCTCATGGGGGGCAACTGGTGGCCTCGGTAGGGCGTGAAAGGCGGACCAAAACGCCCCCCTTCCCATGAGGTTTTAGTCGCCCTCACACTCCCGGCTCATACCTGCTGTCCACAAGGCTCCCATGTGGCCGCCATCTTTCTTTCCAGAGAGGAGAGGGCAAATGGGGCAACACCCTTTCCCCTCCGGCCGACTTGATGGCCTGGATTAACGCATAGTCCGTTCACTTTTCTGATCCAAGCTGCCGGGTTCTGCATTAAGTCCTTGTGCTTCTGGGGCCGTGGCTGTGCTGGAGAGCCGCTCGCGGGGGGCGACTGGTGACCTCGGTAGGGCGTGAAGGATGGACCGGAACGCCCCCCGACCCATGAGGTTTTAGTCACCCCCACACCCCCGGCTCATACCTGCTGTCCACAAGGCTCCCATGTGGCCGCCAGATAGATACTTTTTGAACTGAATTTTAAGGGACTGGAGAGAGAGCATTGGAGTTTAGACTCTTGCCTTGCATTTGGCCATGCCTGGTGGTATTCTCAACACCACATATGGACCTTGGAGCACCACCAAAAGAGAACACTAAGCACAGAGTCAGGAGTAGTTTTGAGTACCCCTAGATGTGGTCCTAAAAAACAAAACACACATACACATACCCCAAAAAAACCCATGAGAAGTTCACTTTAGAACCTGATAATCAAAAGGTTCTAGATTATTGATAATTGGTTGATAATTGCTTCTTGATCACTACGATCGCGACCATCCTGTTTGTTACTCGTCGATTGCCTCGAGCACGCCCCAGTAACGTCTCCTTTGTCCTAGCCCTGAGATTTTTAAAAAAGTGCCAATCAACCCGTGGCGTACCCAATATGCCAAATACCAGTAACAATGATGGGTCTCATTCTCCTAACTCTGAAAGAGCCTTGAATATGGCTTCTTGATACTTAATATATGGGGGCAGATATATGTGGCTTTTTTCTCTGATTCTGTAACACTCAAGAATCTGGTGGCTTTTTGGAAGGAAATAGTGATATAAGCCATCTTGATTACTGTTTTGGGTATGCTGTAGAGATGGAAATAGACGATACTTTTTCTAAATGAAAGTGTGGCACATCCCATAGAGGGTGGGAGGATAAAGGACAAAGAGAACCTAACACCCCCCCCAAAAAAATTAATAATACTTATTTTCCTTTTTTTTTTTAAAGCTCCTAACAATTAACCAAGAGTGGAAGCCCATTGAAGAGTTGCAGAAGGTCCGAAGGGCAACCCGATGAGCAGCCCTTTCCTCCTCCTCCCCAAGAGCACTCTCTAAATCCAGGGAAACGCTTCAGCACAGACTCCAGTATGGAGACCAGTGTATGGAAATGCTTCTGCTACAGTTTTAGGGCTAGACTATGTGTTCAAACTCACATAAGTAAAAGAAAGAAAAGACAGTGCAACAGTAACAGTCTAAAAATAAGCATGTTTCTTATATATTGAAATTTAAGTTTACGATGCTTGAATATTTCCCTCAAAAGTATAAATATCTGTAAATTAAACAGCTGTCTATGATTAAGTACCTTTTATGTAAGCTTGCCCTTTTTTACCCCCTTCTTTTTGTCTTTTGGTTTTTGGGCCACACCTGGCAAGTGCTCAGGACTTACTCCTTGTTTTGCATCAGAGATCACTCCTTGTAGGTTCAGGGGAACATATGGGTTGCTGGGTATTGAACTTGAGTCTCCACATGCAAGGCAAATACCCTACCCCACTGTACTATTGTTGTGGCCCCTATGTGAACTTGTTTTAAAAATAGTTTTTGGGGCTGGAGCGATAGTCTAGCCGGCCAGGTGTTTTCCTTGCACACAGCTGACCTGGGTTTGATCCCTGAGCATCGCCAGGAGTAATTCCTGAGTGCAGAGCCAGGAGTAACTCTTGAGCATTACCAGGAATGGCCCAAAAGTTTAAAAAAAATTTTTTTTACTTCCCTCTGTTGATGTACTGACCAGGATTTGCCCTGCTGACTGGTGCTCACACATGTGGCTTGGTGCTTTCAGACTCACAAATCAGGTTGCAGTGCACTCATTCTTGGCCGCAGTGCTTGCTGGGGTTACTCTGTTGTGGTGTTTAATCAAGTGTTTGAGGGAGTCCACACTTTTAGGTATGGTGTGCACACACATGTTGCCAAGAAGAGTATGATGCTTACATATCATTTTAGCCATGCTGTGTTCTAGAGGTCATACACGCCTGACAGCTGTGTGTGCAGAAATTACTTGAGTTCCAGGGATGGCAGTCAGCTGTGTGACATCCAGACATGACCGCCTTCAGCATAGGCAGGTGGCCCGGGGGATTGGCCATTTGACCTCATGTTTGCAAGGTTTATTCACTCTCAAGCTTCCTTCAAAATCAGATACAGATTAAATGCAGGTCAAGTCTATAATAGAGGAATACACTTTTCAAAATACAGAGCTTCATCTTTTAAATAATATCCGATGCAAATATCTGTGTAAACTTTTCTTTCAAGCCCATTCACTCACCAGCAATTTATTGTGCAGCTACTGTTGGTAATTTAGGCACTGTTCTTGTGCAAATGAGATAAAACAATGAACAAAACCAAAGTTGGCAGGGAAATAAAAGATAGTATAATGAAGAGACTCTAGTAGAGATATAGGCTATGAGACTAGTATGAGGTTGGGTCTTGGAGAAAGTTCTGGAATTATGCAGCAAATTGAAACAGGACCCCCCGACATTGCTCCTGGGATGCTCAGGTTGACTGACAGTGGTACCCAGCAGGACTGGGAGGGAAGGAGGAGGGATCATTAGGCACCTGTGAGCTAGTGTTTGCTTATTATTTGGGAGACCAGTTTATTGAGTCAACCACCCATTCTCATTTTAATTGTTTCAGGTGTTTCTTGCAGTGGCACTATTGACTTTATATGAACAGGCATATTATTTAGTTGGAAGAGTTTTTTGTTCTTTTGCAACCACACCTAGTAGTTTTCAGGGCTTACTTCTTGCTCTGTGCTCAGGGATCACTCCTGGTGGGCTTGGGGTATCATATGGGGTGTCAGGTCTGCCACGTGCAAGGCAAGATCCCCACTCATTGTACTCTCTCCATTCGCCAGAAGAGTTTTGTTTATTATATATACCCATGGAGCCATTCTGCAAAATAATCCTTTATTTACCTCCAGAAAATTCTTGTGACATTGTTTACTTTCTAAATTTAAAATGTAACAAATTGAACCTTTTAACTGTGATTTCTATAATACTGAATTATATCCAACACAAATGAAATCTGCTGTACACTCTCACCTTAGAAAATGGCAGAAGTTGCCATAATCCCCTCCATTTCCTGCTCTCCCCTCCCTCCCCTCCTCTCCAGCAATATGGTGATGGTGACATGGCAAAGCCTCCTCTTGGGCCAGGCTGTTGCCCAGCTAGGCAGGAGCAGATTTTCTTTCTTTCTTTCTTTCTTTCTTTCTTTCTTTCTTTCTTTCTTTCTTTGATTTTCTTTCTTTCTCTCTCTTTCATCCTTTCTTTCTTTCCTTTCTTTCTTTCTTTCTTTCTTTGATTTTCTTTCTTTCTCTCTCTTTCATCCTTTCTTTTCTTTCTTTCTTTCTTTCTTTCTTTCTTTCTTTCTTTCTTTTGTAGGAGTACTGCTATTTATTCAGCCACTGAATAGCTGATTGAATTGGGCATGAACTCCACTAGATTTCTTTAAATTCACAGTGGGGTTACTGCTCTCTCACCCCAGCATCTGCTTATGGGGCTGTCATGCTGCCCAGAAAATGGGGCAACACTCCATGTCCCCAAACCAAATTCTCCAGACATCTGCCTGATTCTTTCTTCAGTGACTTGTGATTTTCCCTCTGACTCAGAACCTCTCAGCAGGCTGGGGGTAGGGGACTCTGAATTTGAGCTTTCTGCTCCGAGTTGGCCAGAGAATATGTGGCAAGGCTGATGCTGCAGATCCAGGCCCACACAGAGCACCTCAGGGCTCTGCTGCTTACAACACTGGGTGATTGGTGGGGATTCTGCATTCAGTCCTGTCCTGTCCTGAGCCATCCTGGAAATTTTGTTGGGAGAAGACTGTGAGGCCAGGCCTAGAGGACTTCTAGATGGCACTGACAACCCCATCAAATCTCTGCACCCTTCCCTGAGGAACAGAGGGTTTACCTAGTGGGTTGATGCATGTCTGCTTATAAACATCTTCATTTTTTTAAAAATATTTATTAGTGAAACACCATGAGGTACAGTTGTAGACTTACAAATTTTTGTGCTTGGGTTTCAGTTATACATCTCCATTTCTTACTGAGCACCCATGTCAGGGCAAATGGCCGTGGTTTTCTGGCCACACTGGAAACCCACCTGGCCGTTCATTCACCTTCACAGTGTCCTGGGCACATGTCCAAACCTTCCAGAGTCTTTCTTTGTGATGAGGGATTCCTCTCAGGACTGAAATTATGGGATAAGTTAGTACATGGAAATGTTTTCACTGAGTATCTCCTTCCTGGATTACCTGTTATTTCCTCATGAGACTATGACAAACAGACCAAGAACCCAAGGCTCTTTCCCTTGTCAGTGCCCCTGGGGTACACAGAAAGCCCTGATTTAGGTGCAGGTTGGGAAAAGCCCTACTATGAAAGAATGTGGGTGCTTTCTCCACCAGGAACATTCACCTGCGTCTCTTTCAGCCTGAGATTTCTAATGCTTTTCTTTCACTCTAGGACAGATCTCAGAGATTTGCCCGCATCTGATCAACCTGAGATGTGTAACTCCTTTCTTTAACTGTAGGGCAGATTCTTTATCTTGGAGATTTCAACCACAACTCAACCTGAGTTGTATAATCTTGGATTTTTCCCCCTCTAGTTTGGGTTTTGCTTTGCGTGCGATAGCTTGCCGGGCTCTCCGAGAGGGGTGCAGAGGCCGACCTGGGTTCGATTCCTTCACCCCTCTCCGGGAGCCCAGCAGGCTACCGAGAGTATCCCGCCCGCACGACAAAGTCTGGCAAGCTACCTGTGATGTATTCCTATGCCAAAAACGGTAACAACAAGTCTCACAATGGAGATGTTCCTGGTGCCCGCTCGAGCAAATGGATGAACAACAGGAGGACAGTGCTACAGTGCTACAACGGGGGCCACACTGGCTGTGCTCAGGGTTTACTTCTGGCTCTGTGCTCAGGCGTCTACAACCCAAGAACCACTCCACAGATCACCTCAGTGCTGCTTCAGGAGGGCAGGAAGAAGGCCCAGTCTGTGTGGGTGTGCCCCAGGTCCTGGAGAGTTGACACCCCTTGTCCCCCAGGCACACCTGAACAACTGCCCTGCTCTGGGGCAGATCAGTTTCTAGAGAACCTACTTTGCATAAGCAAAGACAGAAAAGCTGGAGAGATTTGTGACTTTTCTCCAGCTCAGCTGGAACCAGGGAAATGTGCAAGCAACCAACATACACCCAAACTCTGGCTTAGTAAACCTGGGGACATGGACCTCAATTGAATAATAGGAGATGGAGAGGCACAGGCCTCTTTCTCGAAGATGCTTTTGCTGAGGCCCTCTGGACTGACGCATACAGTCTTCCCTTACCTCTCACAGCTGCCCTTCCAAGTGTAACTGGAAAATTCACTTCTCCCAAGGAACTATCTTCTACTCCCCACTTACCAGTTCTGCCCTGTGGAGGTGTTCTACAACCCAAAAACCCTTAAAAAGCATATTGGGCTGGAGGGATGGCTTAAGGGGCAGAGCACATGTCCAGCATGTACAAGACATGGAGTTTGATCCCTGGGCTCACACAGAGCCCTGAGCAGCAACAGATCTATGGACCTGGTGGTCCCTGAATACCAGCACTATGAAAACAAACCAACAAAGTTTCCCCAGAACAGTCATGGCCTGAGTCTCTGTAAAAGGATTTGCCTCTGGGTTTAATCACAAAGAAAATGCACAGGAGCGCCTACTCTGGCCCTCTATCATATAGGCTTATGACACAAGGTCTATGCCCTTAAAAATAAGTAGGGACCCAAGTATAGATAGTATGTTTGCCTTACATGTGGCCAACAAGAGCTCAATCCCTAGCATCCCATATGATCCACCGGGTACCACCTAACTCCCAGATCATCACTGGGTGTGGCCCCAACCTCCCACCCCCAAAAAATGTATAGGCTGGGGGTACTGTCTTTAATATTTGGGGGTCACACCTAGGTCAGGGATTACTCCTGGCTCTGTGTTCAAGGATCACTACTGGCGGGTCTCAGAGGGGCCATATGAGGTATCAGGGATTGAGCCCAAGTTAGTCACAGGTAAGGCAAGTGCCCTACCCTCTATACT